GAAGCCCAAGTGCCCATCGATCCACAAATAGATCAATAAATTGTTGTATATGTACACCATGGAATATTATGCAGCCTTAAAGAAAGATGGAGACTTTACCTCCTTCATGTTTACATGAATGGAGCTGGGAACATATTCTTCTTAGCAAAGTATCTCAACCCACATTTTCAACCTTCTGATGTTATCACTAGCATGTCTCACAAGCACATCAAATGCAACCTGGAAAATGAAGAATGTACTATTCTTCCGCCCCAAAGTTTTCCTATTTGGTGATACTGCATTTCTACTCTCTGTCCCCAACCTGAAAACTGTCTTTGCCTCCCTTTCGCGTACTCTTTTTTATTACACTGGTTACCTCTGTGGCTGTCAACATACAGCTCAATCCTTCAAGTAGTATCTTATCCCATGATACGGTTTGTGGCCTACATCAAACACCGACAGAGCGCTTGCAAAGTGCTAGAATCAAAAAATAAGACATTATTCAGTCACTCCACGGAAATCACAACTAACGGGAAAGACATATACAATATTTGATAGAGAAGCACAGAAATGTTGCAGACGCGAGAAAAGATACACAACATAGCACCCGAACTTCTTTTAGCCACTGTCTTCCATGGTGAATTAATTCATTCGCTTTCAGCGGTATTATCCACCCCCTGGAAGGAACACGGAGATTAAGTACAGCTGGAGTAGCAGCAAGTCAAGCCCGGGCTGCCGCGCCCCGCAGCACCTCCGGATGGACAGTGGCAGGCCTGCAAAACGAAAATGTAAGGCTCCAGGGAAGAGGTGGTGCACGCCGCACTCCACTCCTTGGCCCGCAGAAGGCAGAGAGAAAAGGCTCGAGCTCCCCTTCGCCAGCCCACTCCTGAGAGAACAAGGCCCGGTCCCGTGCTCCCACACCAGGTGGGTCGCTCGGACGCTCACCTGCGCCGCACTCCGAGGACTTCCAAACAGCGGTGTGCTCCTGCCTCCACTGGCACCCGCAGTCGGCTTCCCAGAGCGCCCGGGATTGCGTCCGCGTTCTCAAGACTCGCACTAACCCTCGAGAGGATAGAGTCCGGCGAACCCGAAGGATAGAGGCGGAGGCGCGGGTGAGCGAAGCAAACGAGGTGAGTCGTGCACGCGCCGAGTGGCGCGAGAGTGACGCCACTAGACGGGGCGTGGCCACGCAAGTGGCGGTTTTTTTGGTTGCTTGCAGTGCTCCTCAGCAGCATTAGCAAAGTAAAGATGGAGGAGCGGCCGCCGTAGCCTGTCCCTCAATCTTCCAGCCCATTCTATGGTATTTGATCCTTGCTTTGATGTCAGACTCCAAAGAGTAACTGAGGGCAGTAGGCGGAGCCTGCGGGCAGAGAGCAGCGCGCGTGCGCGCGGTGCGTGCCGGAAGGACGGCCCTAGCCGGGGCCGCCGGGAGGAAGCGCTCGGGTCCCGGAGGGCGGGGGGTAGCGGCGCCGGGGGTCGCCATGGCTACCGAGCCCGAAGCCGCGGAGCCGGAGGTACCATCGCTTGTGGATCGTTACTTCACTCGCTGGTACAAAGCGGGTAAGTACGGAAAGATGTCGCTCTCAGCCGCGCTGTGGAGACCAGGAATGACAGACATAGCCACGCGCTCTCCCTGGCTCTTCCTCCCCGCCTCGTAAAAAACTCGGACCTCTTATTCCTTTCTAGGCCGAGAAAATGGTATTTGCAGAGTCTCGGAGCCCCGAAATACAGCAGGGCGCGTTCCGGGGCTGGCGAGTGCTGCTCGCGGGAAGATGAGTAGTTTAAACTGAGGCCCCCGAAGTAGGCGAGGGTGTAGAGAGCCACAGTCCTTGAGTGCCGGGAGGGATTTGTGGGACTCAATCCCACCAGGAGCGATACATAAAAGTATTACAAGATCAGATCGAAACTAAGAGGAAGTAAGGATGGAGAAGAGGGTGGGTTAGGTTAGAGACATTTAGAAAGCAGAATCCTGTTTTACTTAAGGAGAGGGTGCTGGAATTCACTTACCACTTAAAAGTAGGTATTTTCTGTTGTCCTATATTGTGGACCCAGTAAGTACCAGTGGCAGGAGCATCATGGGGGCCTCTCTTATAACCCCAACTTTCTTCCTTTCACCCAGCGATAATGGGCATACTCATTTTTTAAAAATGTTGTAGCATATTTTCTGTTGGCCAGATTTACAGCGCTCACCTCTCCTAGTTCACACAGGAGAAGATTTTCCTGGAATGTGGGACTATCCATGCTAACATCAGAACAGCCCTAGAAATCACCAACAAAAAGTATACTTCTTCCTGTCTACTGCTAAGTTATATTCCACTTTATGAGTATATTAGTTTATAGATGGAGGATAAACAAAAATTCTCCTTTGAAAGGATATGTGTATTGTTTGCAGCTTTTGATTGTTATGCCTAAAGCTCCTGTGAGGTTTCTTTTCTTTCCTCTGTTGCCATGACAGGAGTGCAGCGGCATCATTATAACTCACTGCAACCTCAAACTCCTGGGCTTAAGTGATGCTCCTCCCTCAGCCTCCTGAGTGGCTGAGACTATGGACACATGCCACCACACTGGGTAATTTTTCAATTTTTTGTAGAGAGGTCTCACTCTTGCTCAGGCAGGTATTGAAGGGATCTTCAAGGGATCTTCCATCCTCTGCTTCCCAGAGTGCTAGGATTACAGGCATGCGCCACCTGCACAGCCTTCTTCCTGTAAGCATTCCTGTGCAGGTTTTCTTGTGGACGTGTCTTCCAATCACTAAAGCAGATGTCTAGAAGTGGAACAACTAGGTTTATAGGGTAGATGAGTATATGTTCTTTACCAAAGTGCTTGTAGCATTGTACAGTTCCACTAACAGTGTTTGAGAATTTCATTACCTCTACATTTTTGCCATCTTTAGGTGTTGCAGATTTTTATTTTAGCCATTTTAGTGAAACGACGTCTCAGTGTGATTGTAATTTGTATTGCCCCCATGATAAATGATGTCAAATACTTCTTCATGTGCTTTTTTACCATTTATGTATTTTTTTGGCTTTCATTATTTTTTCTACTTGACACATAATTGTATGTATTTATGGAGTATAGTGTATATATCGATACATGTATACAATGTGTAACGATCAAATCAGAATAATTTGCATATCATCACCTTAAACATTTATCATTTCTTTGTGTTTGAAACATTCAAAATCTGCTCACTAGACTTATTTGTCCTTCTAGATGTCAAAGGAAAACCCTGTGAGGACCACTGTATACTACAGCACTCTAATCGGTAAGTAAATTAGGAATTTTAAATCATCAAAATTTAATTATTACAATATTAAAAAAATTATTTTTGCTGGTACTTCAGCCTGCAATGGTCTTGAATTGAACAAATTTTATTAAGTGAATGAACATTCATCAAATTATCTTACACTGTGTTGAAATGGTATGTTTGTTGTTTTTATTTTTTTAGAGATAAGGTCTTACTCTGTTGCCTAGGCTAGAGTGCAGTAGCATGATCATTGCAACCTTGAACTCCTGGGCTCAAGCTAGCCTTTTGCTCAGCCTCCCAAGAAGTAGGAACTACAGGTGCATGCCACCATACCTGGCTAATTTTTTAAAATTTTTTGTAGAGATGGGGGTCTCACTATGTTGCCCGAGCTGGTCTTAAACTCCTGGCCTCAAGTGATCCACCCACCTCAGCATCCCAAAGTACTGGGATATAGACATGAACCACTGCACCTAGCCTGAAATGGTATTATTGTAGGAATCTGGCTGGCAAGAATGAGTTTTCCAGTGCCCAGGCACTGAATAAACTTGGGTCCCCAAAAGTCCATATGGAGGATTTTACCATTACTCTGCTACTACCTAAAGTAGCCAGCCTGTGCCTGCCTAACCACTAATTGCCAGAGCCCATGTGGAGACATACAGCAGCTTCCTTTACTTCCGTCTCCCTTCCCTGAAGACTTCTGATTCTTTCCCTTTCCCAGAAAGGAAATCCAGTTCTATTTTCTCCTCTTAGATTATTGCATTCTCCATTCTACAGTTATGCTCCAATAGGAACCAAAGGAAAGGGGATAAGATGACAAGTTGTTTAAATAACTATCAGTTCATACATTCTTGTGCCAGTAGGAATACTGTATTATCGAAGGAAGAATCAAACCAAGTAGTAACAGGATCAATTTTTTTCTTCTTGTAGAATATGTGTCATCACATTGGCAGGATCTCATCCAGTCCTTCAAAGTGGAAAAACAATTAAAAGCATTTCCTATCAGATCAGTAACAACTGTAGCAGACTTCAGAACAAGGTCTCTGGGAAATTTAAGCGGGTAGGTTCCTGTTAATCCTGTGGTTGTCTGCTTACATCCTCTGTACAGTAATAACAGATCCTCTCAGTCTCAGATTCTGTTAAATTCTCTAACAGTTTGAAGTACTGATTTTAAGTATACATTATCCCTAAAGAAATGCTCAGACCAAAAATAATGAAGTATTTTAGGAGGTACAGTATCTGTTAGTTTCTATATTACCATCCCTATTATGCCTAGGGTGGTGGAGGGGGAAACAGGCCTTTAAATAAACAACTCTAATACAAATATAACAAGATGTGTTGTCCCTTCTGCTTATATTAAACCAGTATCTCCAGCTCTGTAAAAATTTAAGTGAACAACTCTTTTTTTTTTTTTTAACCAAATATTTTCACAAATAAAGTTATTTTGTACTTTGGGTTTTGTTTTGTTTTTTTTTTAAGAAACAGAGTCTTGCTCTGTTGCCGTAGGCTAGAGTGCAATGGCACACTCATAGCTTTCTGCAGTCTCAAACTCCTGGGCTCAAATGATTCTCCTGTCTCAGCCTCTACATAGCTAGGCTCTAGGCATGCAACACTATGCCCAGCTTCACATATAAATTAAATAGAAAAAATATATACTGAGGGAGTAAGAAAAAGCATCAATATGAAAATGTATGTAGTATTTGTTCCCTACCATTTTTCCATTTCTAAAGTATTGCCAATCTAATGCACATCTACCCATACCCTATACTGCCATATAATGCTTGGTTATACAGAATGTTATCTCCACCCTCTTTTTAAAACTTTATGCAAGATTGACATTTTATCAAAGGAGAGCATCACACCAAGGACAATTTAGTAACATATTAAAGTGTCCTGACAGCCCCACCAGTTGGGAAAGTTTCTGTGGATGATTTAGGTCCTTTATTTGTTGAGTTAATACTAAGTTAAGAGTTTTTGCTCACTGTACCCCATGATTGCATTAATGTACACATTAATAAAAAAAAAAGTTTTTGCTAATTGCTCTCACTGTTCTAGGAGACCTTATTTGAACTCCCCCTTATAGGTCTGAAGTCTCCTAATAACGTGCCTTATAATTAATTGGTTTTACCTCAGCAAACAAACAAACTTAGAAAAGCATGCCCTTTTCTTAAAAGAAAGTCTAAAAATTATAATAATTAATGCTTGTGAGATTGCTATGATAAATCTCTGTCCAAAACAGTAACACTATTGTTAATAATGAAGAATAAAAAAACCTGCTTAGTGAACCCACTATAGATAAGTTCTGACTGGATCTGAGAATTGTCCATCATTTATTCTCCCAGGGGAGGTGATAAAAAGCAGTCGAAAGGCCAGTATGGTGGCTCACACCTAGCACTCTGGGAGACCAACATGGGAGGCTCACTGGAGCTCAAGAGTTTAAGGCTAGCCTGAGCAAGCATAAGTCCGTGTCTCTCCTAAAATAAAAAAAATTAAGCAGGCCTGGCAGTGGGTCTGTAATCCCAGCTACTCAGGAGCCTTAGGCAGGAGGATCACTTAGCCTGAGTTTGAGGTTGCTGTAAGCCAGGCTGACACCACAGCATTCTAGCCTGGGAGACAAAGCAAGACTCTGTCTTTAAACAAACGCACACACACAACACACAGTCAAAACACTTCTTTTTTTGACACAGACCCATATTGTAAATTAGCTTCTGAGATGAATCCCTCTGTCTGGTTCCAAAAGCAAGGAGTCACAATGATTGAGGCATTTTGAATTGAAGTACTCACATACAAAGAAGTGAAACCAATGCAGTATTATCTGCATGTCATCTAATAATGTTTTGAGTAGTACATTAAGAGGTCATAAATAATAGCATTTTAATGTCAAATACTTCTTCCCTGTAGGAAAAATTCCTGAGAAAAAAGAGGGTAACTAACCTGAGCAACATAATGAGACCCCATCTCTACAAAAAATAAAAAAATTAGGCAGGCATGGTGGTACATGCCTGTTAGTCCCAGCTAGGTGGGAGGCCGAGGCTCATTTGAGTCCAGGAATTTGAGGTTGCAGTGAGCTATGATGATATCATTACACTCTAGCCTGGGCAACAGAGCAAGACCCTATCTGAAAAAAAGAAAAAAAAAGAGCTACACATGAGACTTGACTGCAGTGGCTCTCACTTGTTAGAACCTTCCCAGTACGTGCATCCAGTGGCTCCATGAGACAGTACCTGTGCAATAACGTTCAAACAGACACACGTCAATATGCAGTACTGACTAAGGGTGAAAGGAGAACAGGCAAATTATGTTTGTTTTACAACTTAAAAACTTTACTGTATTTTCCAAATTTTCCTCAGAGTACTTTTTTTTAAATAGAAAAACATTCCTTCTTCAGAAAGTCTTAGTGATTCACCCCATAAAGGAATCCTTTATCTTTAAAGTTTCATATAAAAATAATCTAGGAATCTTTTTTTTTTTTTTTTTTTTTT